TTCTGAACACAACCTAGATATTCGTGTGTAAATAGGCCCCTTTAAGCCCAGAACTCCCTAGTTTTCTTTTTTTTTTTAATTTATTTTTTTAATTTATTTTTGGCTGTACTGGGTCTTTGTTGCTGCATGCGGACTTTCTCTAGTTGTGACGAGTGGGGGCTACTCTTAGTTGCGGTGCGCGGGCTTCTCATTGCGGTGGCTTCAGGTGTTGCAGAGCACAGGCTCTAGGCGCACGGGCTTCAGTAGTTGCGGCTCACGGGCGTAGTTGCGGCTCACGGGCTTAGTTGCTCCGCAGCATGTGGGATTTTCCCGGACCAGGGCTTGAACCTGTGTTCCCTGCATTGGCAGGTGGATCCTTAACCACTGCGCCACCAGGGAAGTCCCCTAGAACTCCCTAGTTTTCTGCCCTTCTTGTCTCTTGGTAAAGGAGCAGACTGTTCTTTCCTGCATAGGAGTAGCAGGGAGTAAAACCGCTTTGGTTTGTAGATCAGTTGGATGCCTTCCCTCTGCCTTTGTGCTCCATCAGTTGTCCCTTCCTAGTTTCCAGGAGGGTTAAGGCTTTTGGGGGCTTTAGGAAGAAGACATGAATGCGAGCATGTTTTAGAGGCTGGGCCTACTTCACCTGTCTCCCTTGCCCAACCTGTGTCAGAGCTTCTATCTTGTGGAAAATGGCCCTAGCTTAGGAGAGGATCGACATTCTCCACTCCCTGCAAAGGGGTGCTGCTGCCAACTTGCAGAGCTCGTGGCTGACGGTAAGGACAGGGCCAGAGGAGAGTTTTGAGGCTATAGCAGCAGGAGGAGAGTGAAGGGAGCTGGATAGTACCAGCCCCCCAGGCTGAGATGCCCAGGAGCTGTGAGAGGAAACCCGAGCTCGGGGTTGGAAGAATCTAAGCGTATGGGACAGATTGCTGGAGGAGAGTAACTTTGAGGAAATTTCATAATCTGAGTGAAAGAGGACCAGACTTCTGTTTATGACATCCAGTGACCCTGCTGCGGCCATGTGTAACAGTGTGAGAAATATACTGCATGCCTTCCCTGCCATGATGTCACCTTGAAGTGTAATTAGGCATAATATGAAGAGCCCTTATAAGTTTTCAGACTTATCTTTTTGAACTCTTACAAGTTTCCAACCTTATTAACCTCTTTCTCTCAAGTACCGGCATTTAAGATTTAAAAAATAAAAACCCTTCATTTTAATATTTTTATGTTCTGCTGAATAGATAGTATATTTATAGCTTAAAAACATTTTTATTGACTGTGTATGGTTTTATTTTATATACACACACACATGCATACACACAATATAGTATTTCAGTTTTGTTATGGTTCTTGTAGAGTTTTATAAAATAGCCTGCAAACCTCTAATGCAGTTTCCATGGGAAATGTGTTCATCCTACAGATAAACTTGAAACCCATCTGTCTATAGACTGAGACTACCTTTTATAATAAAGTGTGTCCCCTTAACGTGATTAAAATAAATGAATTTAAGATTATTGCAGGTATTCTTTTACTCATGCTATGACCTGTTCTATTTGTAGCAATAATTGAGAGTTTAATTTAAAGCCAGTATTTTTCCTTCTATTTTCTAATTGTCTTGGGTACTTTAAAGGTTTATCATTTGGATAAGGTATATATACACAGAGTGAATATTCCCCAAAGCAGTGTAATAAATGGCTTCAGAATGCCCCATAACACCCTTTACTCTGTAGTTTCCTAGCCTTCAAATGTTCTTCTGGTGTGAAACTATTAAGCCCTCAGAGAGTACTGTCATTTAAATAGCCAAGACCAACTGTCTTATCACATGTTAAGTCTTAACTTTCTTATTGTAAATATTCATGATAAAAGAAATTTGATTTCTTAACTTAGAAAGTGAGGTCTTTTTTGAGATTTAGTAAAAGGCACAGTCACTTCTTTCCGATGTTTTTGAAAGTCAATACTATTTTATTTCCTTTTATTCTTTCTCCTCATCCCTGTCTTAAGCACCTATTTATTTAATCAAGATATAATTCACATAACATAATATTATTTACTTATTTATTTATTTATGTACATGCCATGTGGCTTGTGGGATCTTTAGTTCCCCAGCCAGGGATCAAACCTGGGCTCTTGTCAGTGAAAGCACCGAGTCCCAACCACTGGACTGCCAGGGAATTCCCCAAATTAACCATTTTAAAGTGAATAATTCAATTCAGTGCATTTAGTACATCTACAACTACCACCTCTATCTTGTTCCAAGACATTTCATCACCCCAAAATAAACCCTGTACCTATTAGGCAGTTATTCCCCATTTCTTCCCCTCAGGCTTAGGGTATCTTTTTGAAAATCTGAAATTAAGAAATTAAAAAACTGATAAAACTTTATGAGGTAATTGAGATTTTATAAGGCTAGGTTTAGAGTACACTGTTCTAATTCAGTAACATGAAGAAATGCATTTAATATACTGATAGTGGAAAAATTAGATCACAAAATTGTATGTACTTTTTGTCCATACACACACTTTACAGCCATCGGGGGAAAAATGAACATTTGGTAGGAAACACACCAAAGTAACAGTGATTTTGTTCTAGATTTTTTTTTTTCCTCATTCAAAGGAGGGGGGGAAAATCTTCCCATAATTACACAAAAAACAAAAACCTGTAAATGACTAAAAACTTGGGCCTAAACTTACTATTATAACATAATTACTTATTTCAGGTTAATACTAAACTTCTTCCAGATTGAGTACAGTGTTTCTTAGTATTTACTAAAAGAAAAAGGTTTGCTGGAGGAATAAAACTGTATAATATTTGTAGTTTTTTAATCCTTCAAGTTATATCGCAGACCAGGAATATCTGTTTCAAGTAAACTGTGTTCTAATTTATTTTTCCCTTTAAAAATATACTCTATAGGACTTTCTTTTCAAACTATAAAAATGTCATATTTTTGTTGATACAAATCAAATACCACAGGGGTGTACAAATAAAAAGCCAACAGTCTCCCTTACAATAGTCTTCTCATGTTCTTGCCTAAAATAATTGCTGTTAGCAGTTTGGCATTCTTCTTATTAGCCTTTGTCATGTGACTTACATGCACATACAATAAAATTGGACCCAACTGAGTAAAAAACTAAAATGCCTTCAGGGTGGCCCTAGCAGTTAATGTAATGCCCTAAGGAAAGGTAAGGCCCTTGGCTAACTGGAAGGGGATTTTTACCACTGAAAGTTTTCTCATTCAAAAATAGTTAGAGCCCTGTGCTGGGCAGAAAGGCAGAGGCCCTTGGGCAGTATATCACTGTACTCTCCTATTCTTCCTTGCCTTCTCCTCCCCTCCCAAATGTAGAATGAATGTATGTCAAAGATTTATTTAACTCATTAATAAGGGAACCAGCAGGATGGTAAAGCTGATTCCAAGAGCATTTGAGGAATTGAGTGAATGCAGACACTGAAGAATGAATGTTGAAGTAAATTGCTAGGCTAGATATAAAACCCATTAATGTCCTGCAGGGTAGGAAAACCATAGCCCTTGGAGTCTGCCAGACAGATATTATCTCTACCAAATAAAAATCTACAAGTTCACTTGTAAGTTCATAGAATTTGGGTCCTAATCAGTAGTAAACAGCAGGTCAAACAATGGTATTATAATTAAATATCTTTGGGATATTCATTATTCATAATGAATATAATATTCATTATATTTTATTATACATTGAAAGGGATTATAGTTCTTGATTCACTTTATTTCCAGTTTTGGCTAATTTTTCTTAAAAATGAGAAAGGCCGATTGTGATGTATGATTAGACAGGACCAATATAATATAGTAGGGATCAGATCTTGGAAGAGCTTGGTATCTTAAACTAAGAAATTTAAACTTTGTTTCAACAACTGTTCATTGAGCATATACTGTGCACCAGGCAGTGGACTTATTATAATCCTGAGTGTGTGGATGTGCTGCGGTGCCCCTCTCTTGGCCCCTAGGAGACTGACTAGTGGTTCTCAAGTGGTTGTATTAGGGAGTCACCTGGGAAGTTGCTTTTCTCAAAATAGACATGTTCTTTTGTCCTTCTGTACCCACCCCAATGTAGATGTCTCTGCCTGAGTAGAACATACGTGTTTTGAAAAAGCTTGTTCCAGGTGATTTTTATATCCCTTCCCTTTTAAAATCATTGTTGTGTTTATTGGGCTTAAAATTGAATAGGTAAACGGCAAGCAAAATTGTAATCAGTATTTTAAAAGTTTTCATACCCCTTTTTGCCTGCCGTGTCCCTGTAATACTCAGACTAAAGTAATTAATGTCCTGATTATACCCTCAGCAAGAATTACATGCAGTTATCATATTTAGAATTATATTTAATGCATTTGAGACATTAATTTGGGAAGAACTGGGCTTATTAGTCTTCCGAATTGTATCCTTAGGTTATGCCTCTCACTAAATAAAGAGTTGTCATTTATAGTAGTATATGATCTGTATGGTAAAGACCTGTGATTAAAAAATTAGACTTAAAATGTTTTTTTAATCTTTTTTTTTAATGTTTTGTCTTTTTATTTATTTTTTGGCTGCGCCATGCGGCATGCAGGATCTTAGTTCTCCAAGCATGGATGGAACCCGTGCCCCCTGCATTGGGAATGTGGAGTATTAACCACTGGACTGCCAGGGAATTCCCTTAAAAGTGCTTTTGATGAGAAAATAAGACTGTCCTTAACTTGTCAGAGCCTGTTGAAAAACAAAAAAGGAATAAGTAATAAAGGAGAAAAGTGTTTAACCTGTGGCTAAACTATTTGAGTTGAGTCCGCAGTTAATATGAGCAGTTGCTGTGGACATGCGTTTAGATTCTTTCAGTATAACGTTAATTAGGCAGCCGTTTTGTGTAAATGCACTCACAAAGCAAGGATTTGTGATTTCAGTACACCTAAGCAGCCATGGAATTTATAACTTAATCACAGGATGTGGTATTACAGATTAGGGGAGAAACTGGGAAATAACGTGATACAATTGGCATATTGTGTATTTTTCTTTTTATTAGTGTGCCGGTCCAACAAAAGCCCCTGGGTCTGTTTGACTTGTTCAAGTGTCCACTGTGGAAGGTAGGTGACATGCTTATTACTTCACTACCCAACTTGCTTTTTTCAGTTTACCTTTAAGCTTTATGTCAAAGTTTTATTGATTTGGATTTATTTAGCACCGTTGTTTAATTATAGCGTGTACGTAATTCTCTGTAGGGCTTCTTCCCTCTCCTAATAGAATCCCTTTGTTCAGTGATGGAACTGAGGAAAATCTAGGGGGGAAAACCCCTTTATATTGATAGAAGAATTAATTTGATGATCAAGACAATCTACTAGTAATATTTGATTGACATGTGGCCAATTTTGTTTCACCTGTTACCTACTCTTCCCTACCTTTACTGACTTTTGAATCAAATCCCAGATATCACATCATTCTTCTGAAAACAAAACAGATAAAGGAATTCCCTCGAAAATGGTCTCACTGTGGAGTTCATTATTTATGCTAAGATGTACCAAATATATCATTGTTCCGTTAAGACATATTTGCATTCTAGGAACTTAACACTCCCAAACCCAGTTCAAGCCTGAGCATTTCCTCCCAGTTCTTGGCTTCAAAATGATGTTACTTAAATACTTTAGTAACTCTTTCTTCTAGCACAAACTCAAATAAATATCAAACTTTGTGTGTCTGGTAGTAGCACATTTATTTCTGTGGCTCTTTTAGCTTAGAAAATCTGCTTTGAATTTACTTCAGAAGTTAGTAGCTTAGCATCAAGGAGGTGGGAAATCATACTGAGTCACACAGGCTGAAATCTATATTGTATTCATTTGGACAGTTTCCCCATCGTTATTCGTAAACCCTCATTGCATGAAGAGAGCATCTTTGTTCAGTTAACTTTTGATTTTTCACATTTTCAGTCCTGGAATTGAGTCTATTTTTCCATGTACACTTAAGAGTACTTTTGGAAAATGTTAACTGCATATCTTAATTGTGGTTATTGTGGTTTTGAAATCTCTAGGATTTGGGGAACCTGAAAATACTTTGTACAGATAACATTTTTTTTAAAAAAGAAGAAAAGTAGAAGCACTTAAATTCTGCACTTGAAGAGACAGATTCCTCTCCTAGATTTTGAGAGGTGAGAATTATAATGCAATAAAATTTATATAGTTCTATCCTCCAGTTGTCTCATAGTGCTTTACAGCCTAAATCTGGAAGGTCATATGTCAACAAAAAGACCTGACATACTCTCAAAAAGTGGAGACAGTAGTGTTCTTAACGGCAAGCAACAAACAGTTCTCTAAGTAGGTATTGGAAAAATAAATTGAAAATTTTCTAGGCTCTGTAGGTAGTGAGTTTCCAATTGTAAGCAATCTTAAATTTGGGAATCTGACATGGTTTCAGAGAAATATAATTAAGTAGATTACACAGATAATGAGAGTAACCTGCATTTGGATCTTCATTTTACATAGCTGATTGGCTAATTTTCTTTTGCCATGTAATCCTGGGTGTTGATTGCCAAGAATGACGATTTTCTTAGTAATTTAGACCACTTGTCTTTAGGGGAGTCTTAAACTGAATATTCTTTCAAACTAGGAAATGTACTTTATCAGTAGTATATTTGAGTTATATATTGTATTGGTCTTCATGACACCATCCCTTTTATTTTTCCTATTTTTTGTGATTATTGTTAAAAAATCTGTGACATGTATATGGACACTTTTCCTTTTTAGACCAAATTGGTTAAAATCTAAAACTAGATGAGGGAAATATTTATTTTTATGTGGTAGTTTATACATGACTGTTAACTTCTGACATGTATTTGAATATTAGCCAAAACATTGCTAATCTTAATGTTAGCAGTAATACACTTCTTACTTTATCACTGACATTTATTACAGTAACCATGGAAATATCTAGTACATTTGGAGGCTACAGTATGGTGGCTAAAGGAACTATATGTACTATTCATTCATTCATGCATTCTGAGCCATGGATTATTTAATCACCTAACAACCCATGAGATATAAGTACTATTATCTCTGTTTTATCGATGAGAAAACAGAAGTAGAGAGGTTAAGTAACTCACCCAAGGTCACCAGGCCATTATGTGATAACGCCTGCTAAAACCCAGGCTGTCTAATTTTTGAGTTTATACCTTTTTTTTTTTTTTTGGCGGTACACGGGCCTCTCATTGCTGTGGCCTCTTCCATTGCGGAGCACAGGCTCCGGATGCGCAGCCTCAGCGGCCATGGCTCACGGGCCCAGCCGCTCCACGGCATGTGGGATCTTCCCGGACCGGGGCACGAACCCATGTCCCCTGCATCGGCAGGCAGACTCTTAACCACTGTGCCACCAGGAAAGCCCTGAGTTTATACTCTTAATCATTATTTTTATTTTAACTCAGCCATATATACAATGGAATTAAAAATTCAGTTTAGTCCACTTTTGTGTAGAAGACCCTACACACAAGTCTTGGTTATGTTTATTACAGTGAAAAAAGGGGGGAAAATGTGATCAAACTCTGAGTTGAGGTTAGTAGTGCCTCTGATGCTTCCAGGTTTCCTGGGGTAGAGAGGCCAGGCTTGGAGTTGATCCTCCTTACTTACCACAAACTATCCTACTTTCCCCAAGGTAAGTGTTGCTCCTTGTACAGTTAAGGCACATCATGACAAAAATGTCACCTTAACTCTCTGAGCAGGTTTACTTTGGCACTATTTAACCGACATTTGTTTTGACTGTTCTGAGTTTACAATTAGGCCTTGCCTTCTATAAATTGGCAGCTTTCTAGGAACTGGGAAGTTTTTGTTTTATGAGGGTCTTCAAGTAGTGGTCAGTTATGGCATTGTACAGTATTTAGGTGAAGGTGTAGATGAACCCTTATTTCAGTTTCATTTTGCTTTTTGTGATAAAATGATTTATTAAATCTGAGTTGGAAAGTGTTAGAAAATTTTTCTGACTGTAGTCAGCCTTTGATTATCTTTGCCCATGTAGTAAGAAATAACAGTTTATATAAGCTTAAGATAATTTCTGTTTTGTTTGGATTTCTTTTAAACAAACCTATTTCCATATTAGTGGAGTGATTATTCAGGCATTCAAATGAAAGATATGAAGCCATATTGATGAGAAAGAGATGGGAGATTATCCTGTTTCCATATCTGACTCTCATGTTTTATATTAAGCAGCAACCTAAGCAGAGCCTATGGCCCTGTGGGCAGTGATTGAGTAATTTAGTTTGCAGAGCTTGTCTTTGATAATAGCTGAGTTGGGAGTTAGCAGCCTAAGAAAACTTAAAAAAAAGAAAAAGGCTATATAGCAAAATTATCAGCAAAGGAGTTGATAAGTGATAATCTCAATGGTATTGAAACTGGTTTGCATAGATAACACCTTTCCTTGCCTGGTCCTAGTCTTGTGTACAATAATAAGTTGACTGTATTTGATTGCAAAAAAGCATATTTTAAGTACTCAGCTTAATAAATCACTAAGTGATGAATACTCTTACAGGATTGAATGCTCTTTATTAGAAGGAATTCTTTCTTATTCTGATTTGATAACCATCTAATTTTATTATCATCTCCTGCTACTTTAACTTCCCAAGCAATATTTAGATTAAAATACATTTTCATTTGATTTTTGTAAGGTATGTGAATGGCCATGCAAAAAAACATTATGAAGATGCACAAATACCCTTAACCAACCATAAGAAATCAGAAAAGCAAGAAAAAGCTCAGCACACAGTGTGTATGGATTGCAGTAGCTACAGTACATACTGGTAAGTATTAATATTATCTGAAAATGCTATTCCTTTACTATGTGTGTGCTGGAGTTTTCTCGTCGTCCTCACTCTTTCCCCTCCCCCCAGTCTCTAAGCCAGTGGGGACTGCCATTACTGCCTTTTAGTCCTGTTGGAATTCGCAGAGGACTGGGGGCTATCAGGAATGCTTTCCTTATTCATTCAGATGTAAATTTAAATTGTTCTTTCAACCTCTAGGTCTCCTCTTCTTTCCCATCCCACTAAGCTTCAGGGAAATGAAAAGTATTTGTTGTTGTTCATTATAATTCCTTTTCTTTTTTTGTTTTTAATTGAAGAATAATATGATAATATTATTATAATATGATAAAAACCCACATTCCTACTGTCCAGTTAAGGTTTTGTTATATAATCTTTAACTTCTTTGTTTAAAAAATTATTTTGACAGTCTCCCCTGTCCCAACACAGTTCCACTCTCCTCTTCTACTCTGTAGATAAACATCAAGAATTTTGTGTGTAGCCTTTCAAGCTAATTTTTTTTTAAGTGTCACATCCTTTAAAAGGGAATTGGAGGCCCTGTTCTCTCTTTGTAATACACTATACTATACATGTCTGTTTCATGTAAATGACAATAAAGTAAGAATTTTTCTGACTACTTTGAACAGGTTATTCAGGTTACAAGTGATGTTTAACAATCCATATCCATTCGGTATGCTCAAAGAGTCAGTGTATTTTACAGTTTTAACTTTGGCGTGAAGCAAATTTCTTTCCTTGACTAGTAAATTATGAATAATTCTTTATGGTTTTAATCATTTTACTGAATTCAAAAGGTTTCTGACATTGAAAGGAAAAAAAAAGCCATTTAAAGGAGCCCTTTTATTTTTGTTTTTGTTTTTGCCATATAGCCCTCGAATGTTACATGAAGGCAATACTGGGCAGGGATGGGCATTTAAAGTCCAAATATTGCTTTTGATTCACACTTTCTACTGAAGTTGTGTGCTAATCCTTTCTACATTATCCTTAGCTGCTTATTGTATTGTAGAAAGGTGTCCCATCAAAAGGAAGAAAAAAAGGTCAGTGGCCTACCAAGTTTACATTTTTACAGGTTTAACATTATTACACTGTGGCTATTGAATAAAACATTGTAAGGTTTAGTCCTGTAGATCACTAGTATTTCAGTGATCCTTTGTGTGGAAGATGTCCGGACGTGGAAGAGAGACAAGCTAGAGGTACATGAAGACATCAGTAAAAGTGAAAATCTTGGGAAGATTTTCTGAGCCTAGTGCTGAGTTTATTATTATTTGCTCTCATAAAACACCCCTTCCTACAAAAATTAAACATTAGCCAAGCTGTTAAAGTGTTTTCATTAGTTCCCCCCCTTTCCCTGAGGACACTTATATACTAGAATGACACAGCTATCTAATTGACAGAACCATGTGTTTCTGTAAGGTTGTAAGTATTTCTCTTTAAACAGCAGGAATTAAGATCATTCTTGAGGTATCTGTCTCACAGTCATCATTGCAGGTCATGTCAACCTGTATGCACCAGATGTTGAAAACGTTCATTCTTCTTGATTTTTAGTTAGCAATGTGCATGAAATATTTAATGGGGAAATTTGGAAATACAATTAAATCTCTGTGTGCAGTGGGTTTTCTTGCTGTTGGTAAGATTATGAGGAAATAGTAACTCTTTGAGGAAATTTAAAGAATTATCTTGGAATTTTCCTAATGGAGTGGAATTATATTCGTAGGTCTCTTTAAAAATATAGACTATATACTTTAATGTCTTTGTGTATTGCATTTTAGAGGAATACCTTTATTAACTAGGACTGGAATTTAATTTGTTTTATATTGGTATAGTATGCTAAAGTACAAGTCATTTCACGGCTGAATTGGAATTAAATGACAGATCTTGGACCTTGGGGGAATATACACCGTGGCAGGGGTTTCTTGGCCAGTTGCCAGTCTTTTGTGTGAAGTTATACAGAGCCGCAAGTGTGTGGACTCCGAGAGCTTCTGAAATGCAGGAAGGGAGCTGCAGCTGGTCACATAACCATCTCATTTGTGGGTTTAGAACAAAATGCCAGGGAATCATCCTGTAGCATTATACTGACAGCCTAAAAGGAAACTGTGCTAGTAGTAAGCTGATGAAGCTGTAGTTTAAATTAACATTTTCCCCACACCTCACTATGATTAAGAAACAAAAAAGGATTTCTTCTTCTGTATGCGGTGTGTGTGTGTTATTTTCCAGTGCACCTTAGTAATTTCACTTCAGTTTGTAAATTTTCCTTGTATATAAATTTCTTGTGGTTACACTAATTGGTTTACTTTAGAGGTGTATTAGGTTTAACCTATTTGATTATTAATTATTATGCTTGTAGTCAAAATATTTTGACAATAGCTAATGTTAAGGCGCCTTTTCCATGTGCTCTGTCCTCTGAAGAAGTTGAAACATGCTCCGAGGCTTACAGTTTTTCTATCCTTATTTTCCCTTTTCGAAGAGTCCCTGCCTTTGTCCTGTCTTTGCATATCCTTTATGAGGTTATCATTGAGCACTCCCCCCCTCCCCCAAGTAACTCCAGTTGTAGCTGGATGTAATCTCCCCTAAACTCACAGTCCTTGGGATACTTATAATTTCCTGCTGCATGTTAGTTATTTGTAAATGTCCTTGGGGACTGCAGGAACCATATGTCAGATCTTTGTATCGTCCACAGTACTCAGTGTCTGGTGCCGAGTAAGCAGTAGATGTTTGAAAGACTGAATTTTGTTAACTATTTTCCAAAAATGGGGAAGGTTATACCAAATCTATACTATTGTGCCCTCCTGATACTTTTGGAGGACTGAAGAGCTGCAGAACCCTTTTCCTGAAAAAGACTCAAATCACAGCCTATGTGAGCTATTCCATTTACCTCCCGAGAGGGACACCCTTGCAGAGCAGGTCCTTTCACTTCTGATATAAACTGGGCGTCCAGGAGAAGCACATATTAACCAAGCAGAACATAAAACGGGTCATTATTTCAAAAGAGGGAGAGAATCATTTTGGTTTGACACAAACCCACTCCTTTAGGAGACAAATGAAGATTTTAATAAAAATGAAAATCTTAAGACTTTCACACAAGGGCAGGTGTTCAGATTATTGTGTGTGTGTTCAGTAATATTTCCTTTCCTCCTACCCCAAATTCCCTCCCCCAGTTAATACAAATGGAATTGTATGTGGTATACATTATTGTATCAAAAAAAAAAAGAGTAAAATTGATTGAGAAGAAACAAAGATTAAAATTAGGAACTTTTTTTTAAAAATTATTTTTGCGGTACGCGGGCCTCTCACTGTTGTGGTCTCTCTCGTTGCGGAGCACAGGCTCCGGACGCGCAGACTTAGCGGCCATGGCTCACGGGCCCAGCCGCTCCGCGGCATGTGGGATCTTCCCGGACCAGGGAACGAACCCGTGTCCCCTGCATCGGCAGGCAGACTCTCAACCACTGTGCCACCAGGGAAGCCCTAAAATTAGGAACTTTTATTTGACTTACTATGTAGATAGACATTTGGAGTTAATAGATTTAAAATACTGAACATATAACTTTTGACATCTGACATAGTCTTGTCAACTTATCAACAATAGCTGAATTTCTGAGAATTCAAAAGTATGAAAGGAGTAATAAAACTAAATTACTAGAATTTTTCCTTCCTGGTAGGGTAGTGTTTTAAAGCACTCCTTCAAACAAAGAAATATTATGAAATGTGAGTCAATTCATTTGTCTAGAAGAAAGACTTGTATTTTAGATTTTAAACACCTATAATAAATAGCAGTTTTAATTAAAACTAATAAAAATAAAGCTTTTATTTGTGGGTTTAAATGGATGCTGAATCATTTTCAAAGGCAGTTGTGATTAAAAATTAAAAAGGGGAAGATCTTTTGTTGACTATCCTTATAAACTTTTGGGGCACAAATTTTCAGTGTTGTAAAGATTAGAGAACAGGAAGAATTTTGTTGATTTAAAAACAGTATTTTGAAGTTTTATTAAAAAGAAACTTTTCAGCACGTGGTCTGAAAACAAAAGGCTCCTTCTTAATAAGCTGGTACTTTTCTGCTTTTAACAAAGGAAATGAGTTTTCTCTGCAAGTATTCTAATTTTCCAGAATTGGCTTAGTTGATGGCCACGCATTAGAATTGAATAAAAGAGAATTTAAAAATAAGCTTGCTTTCTAAAAGAGTTCTTTGGATTTAACTTTTCTTGGTTTGAAATAGATGAAGTCACTGGAATACCAGCTTTTTTTGCTTTGTTTTTTGTTTTCTGTAACTATATCTGTCATTTATAATAAAGCTGGAGGTCAAAGTTTACTCTAGGTGTCATATTATGATGTTATCTATTATACAAGGGAATGAAAAGGAATTTAAAACTTAATGATCGATTTGCCATTGCCCTTTCTTGAGGGGTACTTTTTGCATTAAAGTTTTTTGATTTTGTTTCTTTGGTATTAGTATTATACATGACTTACTGTATAAAGATTGCCTTATAGCCAGTAGATTAAAGGACTTGTTCCTTTACTGTTGCGTAAAAAATTCAGGTTCATTTGTATGATGATTGCTTCTTGTTTCACGGGGGTGAAGAATGATTTGGTCTGGGAATATTTTCTTAGTGCTTCAAGAATATGATGTGGAGACTTATGACTTGGGTAGCTTCAATAGCACTTACAACAGGAATGGAAAAAGCTTTAGAATTTTAAAGCTGAGAAAGAGAGAGAGATTTTCTTTGTTTTGAGTGTGACACCTGCACCATATAATATGGTAGCAGTTGAGCAATTAAAAGTGGCTAGTGGGACTGAGGAATTGAATGTTTTATTTTACTTTAATGATTATGTTTAAATTGCCACATGTACTGGTAGCTACTATATCAGACAGTGTAGCCTCACACTTAAAATTTAACATTGAGTATATTAATATTATGAAACTTTAAAAACCTTAAGACAAAAATCTGATAGAAACTCCAAAAAGAAAATAAGTCAATTTCACTAACTAAAAT